AAGGTCTCTCGGTCTCATCGTCAAAGAATGGTACACCCAACACGCGCCCTCCTTCCTTAAATTCGTCTTTAAGTTCTTGCATCGCGAGTTCCTGCGAAGAATCCCAGTAGAATTTCTCAGTCTTTCGAAGGAGTAACCTTAATGGCTCAGCCTTCTCCGCATATCCCCGTATGAATATGCGCCAGTAACCAACCACTCCCAGAAACTGTCGGACCTCGGTTGCGCTATGTAATGGTGAGGGTCAGTTCAGAAGCTTTTCTAACTTTGCCGGATCTGCTCGGCGTCCACTCGAGTCACAGATAAAACCCAAGATCTTAATAGTCGAGACGGCCCATCGGCTCTTGGTTCCGCTGACTGTCAAATTCGCATCGTCCAGCTGCTCGAGTACCGCGCAAATGTCTATTAGGTGCTGCTCGACGAATCTTCTAACTCCAGGTATAACCTCTGTCTCATACCTCTCTACTGGTCCTTTTATAGGAAAGTCATCCAGAAAAACTTCAACCTTATCAGGGATGAAGTCCTTGAGGACGGCTACCATGGCTCTCTGAAAAACGGCTACCCCATTTGTCCAACCCATAGGGACAACCATCATTTGAATTAGTCCCAATGGCGTATGCATAGCCGTGAGGTGTCTGTCCCTAGGGTCAAGCGGTACCTCATCATAGCCCGAGAACAGATCACAGACCGAATAGATCGACCTACCTGCTGCGCCTTCTGCCAGTAAATCTGTGTGTGGCACGGAGCCCACGTCTCGTATCGTCACCGCGTTGACCTTCTGAAGGTCCTGGATCCATCGGATCTTGCCATTCGGCTTTCGCAGGAAGAACCACCGATTTGCATAGGCACTATCAGACGGCTCCGCAACGTGCGAAACCATCTTTTCTTTAAGGAAAGCGATAACTTCTTCCTTCTCCTTCTGGGCGTACTTCCACCCCGCGTCGTTCCAGGGAATATGTGGTATCGTGTAAATCCTCGCTGGCTTAGCGTATCTAGGGTCAATCCTACCACGTTCCGTGTCGCTAAAAGCTATTGCCTTATCACATGTGTTCAGAATTTCTATCACACGTCCTCGCTCTTGTGGGGTCAAATTTCCATCTCCGATATCCATCCCTGCTATTCTCTCTTCCGTTAGGCGTTATGGCTCCTTTCTCTTTCTTTCTTTGATTTCTTTTGCAATGTCTTCTTCCGTTATCCCTTCTAGTCCCGATCGCTCGCGGCCTACCGCCGCTGGCTTAACTTTTTGAGCTACTCGCTTGTGTCGCTTGGGGAGCCCCCCGTAGGGAACCGTGCCCTTAAAAAAGACACGGATACCACACCGCCAAATTCTTCATCCTTTTCCTTCGGGTACGAGTTGCCGTCTACTATTAGCCGGCTTCCTAAATCTTCCACCTCCACGATCCGACCTTCTTCTTCTGTGAGCAGTGGTCCATATTTCTTCTCGCGAAATCGCACCGAGCGGCTGGAGATAGGCAACGACTTAATCTGATCACTGGTTCTTGCACCCACATCGAGAGCTGCTCTGTTCCTCGGATCCCGAGGCTCCACTGTCTCAATCATTACCCGCGTCCCGTCTGGCTTCTTAATGGACAATGTTTGGCTCCCATCAGGTCGCTCTATCGTCACCGCGTGCACGTGGCTGAGCCACGTTCGACCCAAGAGCAGGTCAGAGCTGCAGTTCTTGACTGCAAAGACAGGCAGGGTCACTCGCACCCCTTGGACCTCTAGGATTGCCTTGTGACAAACCCCAGTGATCTGTTGCTTTCTCCCATCAGCCGTCTCTATCTCGAATAGGTATGACCTATCGAGATCCAGTCCAACTTGTACCGCCAGGTCCTCGTCTATGATGACAGCCTCACTGCCGTTATCAATCACAGCATCGAGTACCGCTTCCTCGTTTATAATCGTCTCCACGACCCCGCTACCAAGTATATAAAACTTGTCTGGAGGCACACCTTCAATTCCATCGAGAAGGACTGTCGCCGCAGTCAGCCCCGTTACTGTTACTGTAGAAGTTTCCGCCTTAGGGGCCTGACCCTCCTCCGATAGAGGTATGCGAGTCTTTTGCGTGATCATCTGTAACTCATCACGAGCTGGCTTCGATGCCGCCAAGTACTCCAGAATAGAGCACTGCATCGGTTGCCGAAGGGCCCGCCTCAGTGGCTCAACCGTGTCAATCTCGTTCAGCGAACTCTTCATTAAGAACTTCTTCACTCCCCGCTTTCGCGGCGAAAGGATAACCTCCTCTCCATCGACCCGCTGCCCGTCCTTCTCCACCATCACGTAATCCGTGTCAGTTTTCTTCGATGTAGACCCTCTCGCCGACTTGGTGGCTGCCACCCTTATGGGTGTGGTCGCTATATCCCCCTCAAAGGTTATCTTGATGCTCTGGCTCCTGACCGGCTCCATTCCTTTACTCGCCTTTATTCTCCTTGCTTCGACATTCTCTTTCATCGAAGGGAACATCGATACATCTCCGAGATYATCTGCCCACTTGACGTACTTGCGGTCGTTAAGCACGACAAGTCCCTCTTCTATTGCCCGTTTAAGGTCCGGACAATCCCTCTTGATATGATCTTCTCCTCTACAGTAAACGCATGAGTTCCTCGGAGTAGATGCCCTGTCGTCTGCGCCTCTAGAAATCGAACTCCTGACCACCCTGGGGTCAGGCGACTTGGGATATGGTTCTGATGAGACGCCATATTCCCCTTTCTCATTCCGACCGCGCGGATCGTTGCGCTGGTCTCCTCCAAACCCTCCTTGCTCATACCGCCCTCGCGATTCATTTCGGCGGTCCCCCGAGTCATATCGTCCTCAGGACTCATCGCGTTTGTCCCCTCGGTTGTACCACCCCCGCGATTCGTCGCGCTGCTCTCTCGCTTCTCCCCCGCGCTCAAACCGTCCGCGCGACCCATCTTGTCGTTCCCAGTCCCGATCTCCTCTCTCATATCTACTTCCTCTGTGGCCATCTCGACCTGACCTCTCGTATCTGTCGTCCCTATATCCATCCCGGTCCGATCTCTCGTATCTGYCGTCCCTCTCCCATCGGCCGCGGGAGTCGCCTCTACCCCGATCGGCCTCATAGCGAGGGCTTCGGGGGTAATCATCTAGCCTCCTTGCTCGCACAACGGCTCGCGATCCTTGCGGTCTCGGTCTATCTCATCGTCCCTACGTCGCCATAATTCATCGTCTCTCTCTCTTCCCCTCGTACGATAATCAGTCAGCGTCCGAGGATTTTTATCCTCGACGCTCCTCCAGGGATCGTTGTTCCTGCGGTCCCAGCGAAGTGAATAGGGCCCTACAGGTTTGTCCCGGTAGGCCATGACCCCTGTAGCGGTCACAATCTCTGTAACCTGTCTCGTTAATCCCTTCACCATGTCCCGTATCTCCTTCACTTCTTCAGCCACGGCCTCATTCTTCTCCGACCAGGGATAGTCCTTGAAATCAGGACATCTATCAGTGGCATACTCCTTGTAGAGAGAGAAGTCACGTCTCCTCATCCCTCTCCACACCAAGTCCTTGTAAT